TTACTATTTTGTATGTAGTGATCATATCACCTCTTTTTCTTCTGTCTTCTAGTTTTGGCATATTTAATGCCTCTAACCTCTCCTCGTAGCTCTTGCCCTTCAGTTCTGAGAGCCACTTAGTAGCATGTATTTGCACCTTTTCCAGTTTGTTGATGTGCTTCTTAAGATATGGGCACCACACAACTGCTGCATATTCTAGCTTTGGCCTAACAAAAGCCGTGAACAATTTCTTTAGTACTGTATATCGCCATCCATGTATTTAAAAGCAATTCTGAAGTTAGAAAGCGTGGCATAGGCTCCTCGCACAATATTCTTTATGTGGTCCTCAGGTGATAGATTTCTATCTAGAACCACCCCTAGATCTCTTTCTTTATCAGAATTCTTTAAAGATTTCTCACATAATATATAGGTTGTGTGGGGTCTATGTTCTCCTATTCCACATTCCATAACATGGCATTTATTAACATTAAATTCCATTTGCCAAGTGGCGCTCCATGTACTTATTTTGTCCAGGTCTTCTTGAAGGGCATGACAATCATCTAAGTTTCTTACCCTTCCTATTATCTTAGCATCATCAGCAAACATGTTCATATAATTCTGTATACCAACTGGTAGATCATTTATGTAGACAATAAACATCACTGGTGCAAGAACTGAACCCTGTGGTACTCCACTTGTGACATTTCTCCAGTCCGATACATTGCCTCTGATCACAGCCCTCATTTTTCTATCAGTCAGAAAATTTTTCATCCATGTTAGAAGCATACCTGTCACTCCTCCAATATTTTCCAGTTTCCAGAACAACCTCTTATGTGGAACTCTGTCGAAAGCCTTTTTTAGGTCCAGATAGATGCAGTCAACCCAACCATCTCTTACCTGTAATATCTCTGTTGCTCGATCATAGAAACTGAGTAAATTTGATACACAGGATCTTCCAGATCGAAAACCATACTGTCTGTCTGATATTATATCATTTCTCTCCAGGTGTTCTACCCATTTAGATTTAATTATTTTTTCCAATATTTTGACTATTACACTTGTCAATGATACCAGTCTATAATTAAGGGGGTCTTCCCTGCTTCCACTTTTGTAGATTGGAACTATGTTAGCCTTTTTCCACACATCAGCTACAACTCCTGTAAACAGGGATGCCTGAAAAATCAGTTGAAGAGGAATGCTGAGCTCAGGTGCACATTCTCTCAGAACCCATGGTGAAACTCCATCTGGACCAACTGTTTTCTTCTTATTTAGCTCCTTGAGCATTTTATCCACTTCGTCTCTAGACACCTCTATGTGCTCTATGTTGTTCTCTGGAATTCTTATTGTATCTGGTTTTAGTGATCAAGTAGCTGTGAGAGGCACGATCTTCCCGCTCGAAATCCATGTTGGCCTGGGTTGTGAAGGTCATTGGTCTCCATGAAATTGGTGACCTGACTCCTAATCACTCTTTCAAATACTTTTATTATGTGCGACGTTAATACAACTGGTCTATAATTCTTTGCCAATGCATTGCTCCCTCCCTTGTGTAGAGGGGCTATGTCTGCTACGTTAAGTGCATCTGGTATCTTCCTCGTGTCCAAGCTCTTCCTCCACACTACACTGAGTGCCTGTGCTACCGGCACTTGCTGTGTGACTTGTCATGCAGTGGCCATTATGCTGTTTGGAAATCATATCAGCTTAGTTGTACAGTTTTGGTAAATAAAACATGTAGATACTTATATATAATGTGTGTACATAGTGTAATAACACCACAAACAGTATTGTTGTGGGAGAAATGTGAGTGCGTCTGGCCTTGAACCAGTGAGGGAGGCAGCCATTAGCTGTGTGTGTGGTGCAACCTCTCTTATTGCCTGAACTCATCATACTAGCTAAGTTGTACAGTTGTGGTGAATAAAACATGTAGATACTTATATATAACATGTGTAAATAGTGTAATAAAAACAATAACAGTATGGTGGGAGGCAGAATGTTGGTCAGTGGGTGCTAAAGGTAGGAGGGAATCAGCCAGCAGACTACTGGCTGCTGTGTCATAGCCACTCCTGTTGTTTTTGGCTCACTGTATCAAGTTACTGGTTCATTATGGTGAACACATGTGTAGATAGGTATATACAATATGTGCATATAGTGTAATAACAGCTAAAACACTGTTTGATCGTAGAATATAATATACATGTCACATATATGAGCCCCATAATTTTGAGCATAACGATATTCCACACATTGAACTATATACATTTCACAAATTACACACTATTGAATCATATTACAGCAAAAAAGCAGAGAAGAAACTAATGGGAAACATCAAAATAATTGTGAAACATTATATTGGCGGCAACTGCCGCCCCAGGGGCCTGTTACGGCCACTATGGGTCGCAACCGGGTTCTTTGATGGTAGAACCAAAATGATAGTATCCGACCCCAAGTCGGTAGTACGCTTTCAAGAAAGTGCCTATGTAGTGCATAAAAAAAGGGAGGGGATGAACAAAACACTGTTCCTTTCGTCACTGTATTAAATATCTTTCCACCACCGTTAAGTATATATATGTACACCGTCACCATAAATAATATATGAAGAACAGATAGGCTATTACTACACCTATGTACAATCCTTTTGCTCAGGATATCAAACGTGCTCATGTGCAGAGTTCATCAATACCCAGTATTTCTTCACTGTCCAGTCGCGTGTCCAACCTTACTGGGAAGAACACCGGCGAGTCCACCTATACGTGGGCCAGCCCACTGACAGTGTCATGAGGTGCCTGTACCCCAACAACTGCTCTCCAGCTACTCGCTGGCAGAGTACCTCAGCCACACGCTGAGCGGGGTCACAAACCAGTACAGGGGTAGCGATCCCCTGGCAGCAGTCTCTAGCTACCAGCTAGCAGCGCTACTCAACAGGCACCTCCCTGTCGTCAGTCTCTCCCCTATGCCAGTCCCAATGGTACACCGATCCTTTTCAACACTTAAGCACTAGCAGCTACCACACTGCTTCATCGGCGGCGGCTTACTTGGTCGTTTCCAGGACCCTGTAGGGAGACTGTGGACTGCCCAAGATGAATTGCCATCTCCAGTACCATTGCCCCCAGACGTCACCTCTGTGGACACAAAAAATGTCGTCACCTCACCAGAGGTCACTCACAATGACCCCTCTGGCTGACCAAGGCAGGAATCTTTAGCCATTTTACAGGTTTTAGATAGCCACCACCAGATGGCATTGTTCATATTACGTACGATTTACGGGGAGGTCAGGTGTGGACTTGTAGATGGCGCTGGAACTGCCACTCGACCTCCTGACAAGGGTAACGAGTCCGTAACAGGGCCTAATGACCTAGAGCACTCCATGCTCAGCGTCCATAATTTCCTCAACTTCCCAGCTCCATCACAGCTAAAGTGTCTCATACAATATTTTTCTTAGTTTCCCATGATCAGAGACTATTTTAACAATATAAGAAGAGAAAATAATTTTCTGGAAAGAATTTATTTTCTGCGCACCACGGGTTTGTCATATTTTTATGCAGAGCAGTGCAGTGGTTAACCCTTGCACTGCTCACCTATTTTCGGCAAAAACGTCTTGGTGCAATTGACAAGGACATATTTTTGTTATTTTTACAAATGTTCAGGTAAATTTAATGTCAAAATGTTTCCAAAGTCAAATATTTCCATTTCAAAACACAAATAGTAATGAAAACATTAAAAAACATTAAAATATAGCCAAATTAAAAAACAAAAAGCACAACTCTCTGAGCGCCTAAAGGCGCTTTGCGCAGTGCAGTGGTTAATGATCAGTTGTCAAGCAGCTTATATGCAGATTTATTTACTGGTTTAAAAATGTTCATGCTTTTTCCAAACTTTATCATTGAAAATTGTGGGAGTGCATAACTATCGATGAAATAAAAATTATTAAAGTGCACAAAATGTTGATTTTCATCTTTCTATTTCCTCTGCATCTTTATCACTTTCAGAAACTCCCCTCAGGGATTGGCCACAGAGTAGTTTCTTGAGGATAATCACCACACAAAGCTGCCATTATTTTTAGTTCTATAACCTCTCCCCTCACCCTTCCTTTCATAATTGTTCCACTCTTTCCCATCGAAGATACGAGTCTTTTGCCTCTACCATACGATTTCCCTATTTCACCCATGTATACCATTGTTAAACATTTCATTGGCATTCTATAAATTTATTGCATTGCCTAAGTGTTTTGTGCTTCACCCCTCTTCAAATTTCCTAATTTCATTTCCACACTTCTTTCACTCATGTGATATCTCTCATATTCTTCCCAATTGCTATAGCCATCCCACATTTATAGTGCCAATGATGAGTATGTCACCTGCTAAATTGGATGTTCCTTACCCAGTGGACATATTGGATCTTGTGGAAGCAATTGAATGGTTCAGGCTCAGAATTATGCTTTTATTGTTAACTATAGTAAAAATCATTTAATAAGCATATTTTTCTTAATACTTTTAGTGGTCTGATAAAAGTATCTAAATATATTATTATGAGATATTATTAGTATCTCGATCCCGACAGACCACTGGAACATTATCTAACACAGTGCAGAGTTAAAAACCCATTAAGATTTCAACCTAGATTCAACAGAGAAGAAGTTGTTGTTAAACACATGAGGACAAAATCTTACCGAAGCGACCATACGAGTCATAAATACTCATACTCCGCCCAAGTAAAACAGAAACAAGCATCACTTAGTGGGCCAGCTTAGGGCCCACATAGGAATATTCCTGGAAAAAAAAAAGTATCTCGATATAATGTGTATATCCTATATTATATAGGATATAAATGATAAAAACTAAATATAAACTTTGTTTTTTTCCTTTGATGCCAATGTGTGTGGAAAGAAGTAAGAGAGAGCATGAATCCCTTCAAATATATTTAATATTCTTTTCCTTGAATACTTTTCCTTTCTCTAATGGCAGGTATGTCTACACTGCATAACAGTGGGAGATGATGATATTTCAGGCTTGCACTTATCATTTCAGGTGTAACTGCACCCACATTACATGTTGGGATGTTATTTTCCACTGTGTGTTGGTATCGGGACCCACACAGTTTACCCTGGATTGAGTATCTTCACACCGGGGCATCTAAGATATGGTAAGTTTATCATCCATATTGTATACCTTGAATTGAGTACCTTCACTCAGGGGTCATATGGAATATGGTAAGGTTATTTTATAAGTTTAAATTATTCTTATCAGTTGTTATCAGTTTTTGAACTAAGGTCCCTAAGATACACACAAGGCTGTTTTCTACCCAGAACTTGTATCGCCCACCAAATTCTCCTCAACCGTACCCTGATTTATGACGGTGAACTTTTCAAATTGTCTTGATACATAATAATAATTAAGGGAACGAAACAGTGGCACCATCACCAGGTGACTAACTCACAGCAATAAAAAAAAGCTGTAATGAATATATGGGGCTGTGGGCCACTTCAAGCATCTGCCTTCTAGATCATGCCATCGGAAGTCAAGCCTGGCCCCAGGCTGGGCTTGGGGAGTAGAAGGAACTCCCAGAACCCATTCAAGATTTTAGCTAATAAACAAAAGTTATCCCTTAGTGCCACCCAATGAGAGTATCCATTTCTACAAGAACGTTGAAAGCGCTAGCATCTCCTCACTTTTTGCCTGGCATTCATCTTTTGTTCACATATATTGTATTGGTGACTAATTATTAGTAACTTAATTCTGATTCATTTCATCTTAAAGACTGTCCTCTCAGCATATGGGGAGTCCATACTTTCGGTTCGCTTCACTACATGGTTTACCAGTCATTTGCATGTGAATACAGGTCAAAATCTGCAACAATTGGCACAGGGTGGAGTATGAGAAAGTATTGGTTGGAAACAGGGCTGTGGATGAGTGGAATAGGTTGCCAGCTAATATTATTAAGGCAAAGAATTTAATAGGATTCAAAAATAGATTAGATTGGTATGTGGGGGAGAGAGGTGGAGAATTTCAATGGGACCTGCCTAGTTTGATGGTCGTCTGTTAGTTTTTCTACAAACTGGTGGTCATTTCTACTGTCTCCTGGTGTCTGTTGGATGGATATTACCCTCTGTCCCATGGCTGCAATGTTAGGATTCACAGGTGAACTATTTTGGTTCCGGCCTATGTCTTTTTGTTTTTGGTTCTCTGCTTTTGTGGTGTTGTGTCTTTACAGGTGACCGCTGCTTTGGGTTCGTTTGCCTAAATGTGTCTGTGGCTTCATGTTCGTATGGTTGCTCTGGAGTCGGCCTGTTTAGTTTTTAGGGTTTTGTGGTTAAAGTGGCTGGAGTTTCTGCAGATCAGCCTTTTGCTACTGCTCTTTCATTGTCTGCTTAGCATTGTGTGGACTGTTCGTGAACCACTTCTGGCTCTGGGTTCTAGGGCAGCTGAAGCTTTCGGGCTCTGGGCTGAATTTGTTGTGTGTTTAGCTTAGCCTTCTCTTGGGGTAACCCCCTTTCACTTTAACACAAGAGACACTTCAGCCATTGCTTTTGTGATGGTAACGCGTTGGTGTTCGGCTGTTTAAGGCTAGGGGTATGGCCTCGTCACATAGTTATAAAAAAAATAGAAAAACTGGAACTTCGTCTGTGGTAAGGTAAGGAGAAGACACACAAAACACAAGTAAACTTTAACAATGAAATTTTAATTACGTTAAATAAATCAAAACATGAAAAAATGGACAAACAAATTTGTATAATAAAATCAATCAATCAAAATAATAAGAATAATTAAATGACACAATGAAAAGTTACGTTAAGATAAAATAACAAGAAGTGCAACACAAAATTAAAGGGAGGTGCTGGAATATTGGCTTTAAGCTACCACCTCTCTCAGTACACGCTAACGTCTAGCCGGGAGGAGTGATAACTGCGAAAGCACAGAATATTCTGAGGTCTGAGGTCGTGGCGACCCCAGACATCAAGTAGTATGGGGGGTGGAGTGCAGTTGCAGCCCGGCCGGCGACCAATCAGCGGAGCCGGTAGCGATCAACAGGTAGTTTGGCGGTTTGAGTCTGAACAGGTGTCCCTGGCTGCAACGTTTTGCGCTCTGGCAAACCTTGCTGGTGTTGTTGTCGTTGTTGGACATTTCTTCCATAGTAGTTTTATATAATTTCAACGACGTAATTGTGGAGGGAAGAGCAGGCTCAATCTCTTGAAGGAGATTATCGTCACACTTTCCACCGAGAATTCGGACCATTTTCTTCTCTGGGTATGTGTTTGGCCTGGGTCCTTTATTGTTGATGATGCCTTCCTGTCTCTTCAGGCATCAGGCATGGAGGTTGGATCTGCCCCGGAGTCTTTATTACAGACTTCTGGGGATTGGAGAGGGGGGCCTGAGGTGGGTTTCCAGGTGCCCTTCAATCCTTTCTTGTCTTTGTGTCTGCAGAAGGTGTTTCACACGGGGTGGGAATTTTTCTCTTCCCTGTCCATGGTCGAGCTGGTGTTCTTGGCTGTTGCCCCAGGGTTCACTTCCATGGCCCATTTGGATCCATGAGCATGACTTCATTTGGAGGTTTGTATTATCACTCCTTATGTCTTTCCTGGCTTGGGTGAACATCATTTGGTTCCCTCTGTGGGTTCCAAACTATGTTCCCACTACACCCAGCCTCCTTTGAGTTTGGGTTGACTTTTGCTTTCTGGCTTGTTTTGTGGTTACTGCTTTTCACTGACTTTTTGCAGCTCTCTGTTCTTCTTGGGGGTTTGGCTTGTCTTTTGCCAAACAAAATGCTTGTTTGGCAGGGAGTGGGTTCCATCTTCCAGGTGTTTTTGGGTACTTGTTTGCTCTAGTTGTCTCCAATGGCATTAATAAGTTCCATGTCCTGCCATCTTTGCTTTCTGGAGCCTTTGGTGTGTAGGGTCTCAGGGCTTGTATTCACTTGGCAACTGTCTTGTGTGCGTGGGTGGTTTCCAAGCGCTTCTCAGGCCACCTCCATGGGAGCCTTGATGTTCTGGCATCTGTGCCTGTATGGCTGCCTTATTGCCTTAGGTTTTGACTTTAGCAGCCTTTTCTAATTGCCTGCTCCACTCTTTTGGGTGGCAGTTGTGGGATTTACCTGATCTGTCTTGCATATCAGCAGGCCATTCTAGTTCAGGTTTCACTTTGGGTTGGTTCTCCCCTCTTTTCTGCCCTTTTGTGTTGGGCCCTCACCAGTTCTTGGTCTGGGTTGGCCACCATTGGGGTTCTGCTTCTCCATTTGCCCCTTTGTTTCTGGCTTGTGCTTCTGCTAGCTTTTTCCTGGGGGAGCATCATTGGCTCCCTGAAGCAATCAAACATTGATCAGGACCATACTACCAGGTGCCATCAGTCGTGGAGTTCTATTGGCCTACCGGGGACCACAGGCCAGAGACTGGCCCCCTCAGAGAGGCGCAGGGAGTGATGGCCTATGAATACTCTTCATTTAAAGTTAATAATACTTGTCACCAACTGGGGAAGGCACCCAGAAAGATAGGCAAACCAAAACATACCACTGCATGGTTAAAACTGAGACTGCTGCCCCAAAATTTCCAAAAGAACACCCCCAACAATGAAAACAAACCACCAAAATTTTGTGAAACTAATGCCTGCTAGCTTGCCCATTCCTTGTTTATGGGGGGGAGGAAGGAGGCATTCCGGGTCAGCCAGCCTGCCTCACATTCAGTTGTATACTGATGCATGCCCTGGTCACCATGTCATTCTGGCTCCAGTCTCGTTTTTTGAGTGGTGTTTTTTGTCTTTGAGACTGGATTTTACACTAGTGTTGTATGTGAGTCATGAGTTTAATGTACTTAGAGCTGCAGGAGCTGAGGATTATCTTCACTGTGCTCTCTTTTTAGTACTATACTTGCGCAGTCAGGGATGGCTTCCCAGGGGTGTTCAGGATATGCTCCTATTACGGGGCCTCCACTCTTGGGGTCATTCTCGCCCTTCAGGTAAGCCAGTGATCTGTGTCTGTCTGTCTTCTCCAAGGTTGGGAATGTATTCAGTTTGTAGGGCGCATTGAGCACTGCGCGACCAGTCATTCCATTAACACATAGGCGTACTAATATTTCTCCCTGGTCATTCTCTGCAGTTTAGTCTTGGGGGCTTGGGATTTAGTGTTTATAGCTGGGGAGCTCTATGGGCTCCCTAAAGCTAACTTAGTATTTAAGCTCCATGCTACTTGAGTGTCATCAGTCGCGAAGTTCTTTTTTCCTACCGGGGACCACGATCCAAAACCTTGCCCTCTAGAGATATGCAAGGAGTGATGGCACATGAATACCTTACATATAAAGTCTCTCATTTGTCATCACCAGGGAATGCACCCAGAAAGGTAGGTGCATCAAAGCAAACAACTGCATGGTTTTAGACAAGACACAAACCCACAAAATTTCAAAAGATCTGCCATAAAAGTAAACAAACAATCAAAAATTCATCGAACCAGCCTCATGCTAGTTAACTCCACCTCCCCACCTCGTTGGGGGGAAGGAGCAAGCCGGCTTGGGTCAGCCGGGCTACACCAGTCAGTTCTTGGTTAATGTGTGCAGTGTCGGTGTCGCTTTGGGTCTGTATTCCCGTTTTTCTTTGATGCTTTTTGCCCTTTGAAGCTATGTTCCTTAACAGAGGTGTGTGTGAGCCAGGGGTATTATGTACTAAAGCTGCATGTGCTCAGGGTAACCTTCCCTGTACTGTACTTCTACTCTACTGTACTATAGTACTGTACTATACTACAGTACTGTACTGTGCTACAGTATTGTACTGTACTACAGTACTGTAGCACAATCGACTTGAGAATGGTCCAGGACGGACTGAAACGTCGTCGTCCCTTCACCTTCTAGTGTGTGGTCTGGTCAACATACTTTAGCCACGTTATTGTGACTCATCGCCTATATACAGTACTGTACTACAGTACTGTACTGCACTACAGTATTGTACCTGTACTACAGTACTGTAGTACAGTATTGTGCTGTGCTACAGTACAGTACTGTGCTACAGTACTGTACTGTACTACAGTACTGTACTGTGCTACAGTACTGTACTGTACTTGCCTTGTGTGGTTAGGGTTACTTTCCCTGGGGTGTTCAGGCAACACTCCCATCAGGAGGGGCTTCCTCGATTGTGGTGGTTCTCGCCCTTGGAGTAAGCCCAGGG